GTAAAACTTGTAGTGATCTTGCGCAAAATTAGTTAATTCCGTCCCTGCCGATCATGATTCCGAAGTATGCCGACCCGGAATTTTGGGGATCCCACTGTATGAGTTTAATCCAAGAGGAAAGTTTCTTGGTAACTTATTGAACGTCGCACTTAATAGTTAGCATTAATGTCCTCACAGACCTTGATAGGTAGTTGTTCTTTCGACTTGCGGGAATGTTATTCGTCGATAAAGATTCACTTTTCGCACGAATAAATGTTTTATAACTTAAAACAACTATGTAGAAGTACCTTCTCGCCAAGATAATGTTGATAATGTTACAACCCATATATCGGATAAATCTAAGAAAGAACCAATTAAGGAACAGCCTAGTCGCCTTCGCGGGTTTCTCGCAGGAGTAGTCTCTGGAGTAACCAAGCTTTGTGTTGGACACCCGTTTGGTAAAAAAAAAAAAAAAACAACTTCTTAACCAATCGTTTGAGCAAATGAGTTAATCGAATTAAGAGTTTTACATATAATAAAGATACTATCAAAGTTCGCCTGCAGACAACGGGACTCAATAATAGATTTAATGGTCCGTTGCATTGCTTAAAGCAAACGATACGAAAGGTGCAATGTTTATTATATAAACAAATTCTTATAAATTTGTTGTAATTTATAGTTTCTCCTTATTTCTTTTAGGAAGGATTCCGGGCTTTGTATAAAGGTTCGAATCAAAATAGGTTATTCGCTTTGTATCTTTGATATGTTTACGCGAATTTTTGAATGAAAAATAGGTGCAACACCACCACTTGTTGGCTGGGGTATGATGGATTCTGTAATGTAAATTATTTATAATTATTGGTTTCTTTAATCTGACTGAAATCATAACTTATTAATATCACCATTTTTATTTATTAATTTAGGTTGGGATCTCTACATAATTATCGCTTACTTCTTCAGGGTAATGATCCGACAGTCAAACTCAGTGTTTTTCAACATACATTGGCTGGAGCTGGTAAGGTTTAATTTTATCCATTCAAGTGTTTTTCCGTTTACACTTCAAAAACTCAAATGTCATTTAGGTGCTGGATTTACCGTTTCATTTGTTGCTACTCCGATTGAACAAATCAAAGTAGGTCATCACTATCAAATGAATAATATTTTTCTCCTGAATGCACATCTTAATCTATAGCATGTTGGTTTATGTATGCGAAAAGGCAAGATTACAAGTCCAGTACGATAGTGCTACAAAAATATACAGTGGACCTATCGATTGTGCTAAAAAATTGGTATACATATGATTAGGTTATTGTTGGTTGCCTCATTTAAACGAATTATCTTAAGGTAACACGTTCATTGTTCCCATATTTAATAATATATTTACTAAAGATAAGAAATAATGGTATACAAGGATTATGGTTTGGATTATTTGGAACGATGGCTTTTCGACTTTTTTTTAGCGTATTTTGGGGCTCATATGAGGTTGAATATGATATACAGTTACTTTCAGATATTCAGATATATGGGCTACCGTCAATAGAAATCAAGCAGATTGACATTTTTAAAAAAATTAATTCTTTACTTTTCACAGCTCATATCTCGATGAATTTCGAAGCTATTCTCATAAATAAATAGTCAAGTGAAAGCTTAAGATCTAGCTTTCTTTTGACTATTCAATCATGAGAGCAGCTCGAAATTCATTGAGATATGAGCAGTGAAAGTTAAGGCATCAATTTTTTTTAAAATGTCAATCTGCTTGATTTATATTGACGGCAGCCCATATATTCATTTTGAAATTTAATAACTAAAAAACTGATATTTTACATTTAGCTTTACTCAAGAGCATTACGTAAAACAAATCTAAACGAGCCCACTATAAATTTTTTAGCTGGTGGTCTTAGTGCAAACAATTTTTGGATATTTGCAATGCCTTTTGGTATAGATTGTAACTTTATTTACCAATCAAATTGATATATAATATTTATTCACTTGGATATAACAAAATTCGTATCATAATTTTATTGCTCTTTAGACACTATAAAAAACAGGTATATGACCCAACCTGATGTAAGACCGTTGCGGTATCCAAATTTATGGAGCTGTGCTAAATTTATTTATCAAACTGGTAAGAAAATTACAAGTTTATTAAGGATAAATATTATAAATGTATATATATTAACATTTATATTAATATAGAAGGAATAAGGGGTTTTTACAAAGGATTTATTCCATGTATTTTAAGATCGTTTCCCACAAACGCGTCAGCTATCCTAGCATTTGAAACTACAATGCGTTTATTAAAAAGTTCAGGGATGTAATATATGAGTAAGTTAATAAAAAAAATATAAATGTATTTATACCACAGATAGCACATACAATCAATTTGTACTGGAAGACTGTGATGAGTACAATATTCATGTTTATTAGATATGCAATTACACAAACCTAATTTCTATCCGAATTAATTGGGATGCACTCTACAGAAATATTTGTTAAAAAAAATTGATCAGAGTTTTAATCAAAGGGCAATTATTTGATATACAGTTAGACCTTGATATAATCACCCTTGATATAGTTAATAATTTATAAAAATTTGATTTTCGTTTTACCAATCATTATGAATCATAAAATTACCTCTGTATAGGCACTATCATCTTAGTCACATTGAATTTTGGCTACCAACCTGATGATTATATCAAGGTTAGACTTTATACTTATAATAAAATTGTAGAATACATATGAGTAATTGTCAATTAGTCTTCAAACTTTTCTTTATTTCATTTTAATCTGTTAGTTATTAAATTTTTCATTTTTTTCTAAATTCTTGCATTCTAACTAAAAGCATGTAACTAAAAATATCAATATATTTGTTTATAATACAATAATTTATTTATAAAATGTTTGATTCTTATTTTCCAACAAATAAACTATTCTTTTATCTTAGACATGCCACTTTTTTATACGTATTAATGCACTTTAGCATTGTATTCTTGGTTAAGGTTAAAGTTGGTAAAAATAGTAAATTATACACAAAATTTCATAAAAAAAAAAAAATAACATATAGTTAGACCTCTATAGTCACCCTCTATATAAGCATATGTAAAAATTTTCTTTATCAGCACACCTACTTTAAAACAAACTATTATAAATATATATTGGTCATCTCATTAAGCATGATACACCAACTTGATACATTTGAATTAAAATATAATTACACAAAATTTT